TAGCTTAGTTATTGTGGTTTTGTATTCTTTTTGTTTTTGTTTAACTATTTCATAATTTTTAAGTTGCAAAGTGAGAATCAGACCATCAAAGAAGCTTGTTAAACATTTTGGCATTGCTTCATAATATTGTTGTAAAGTTTCAGAGCTTTCTAATGTCTCCTTATGTAAAGATAAACTAGTACATGACTTTAAAATTTTAAGGGCAAGTAATTCTCCAAATTCTTCACATTTTTTAAGCTTCAATATGAATTGTTTTAATTGTTTAGAAAAATCTAACTCTTTGGCCTTAAAAGCTATATTAACCACAAACAGGCTAGATAGCTTACTTATTTGCATTGATAATGAATTCAAGTCAAAGTTTTTTAGACATAGATATAGAGCTTGAAGTAAATGTTTTTTCACATTATTATCTTCTGACTTTGCCACTATCTCAATTAACTTTGCAAAATGATGAAGAGCAGTTGTAGTATCATCTGAATGTTTTGCAATACAACCAATATCTACAATATTTTCTGAGCCATGATGTATGTGCAAATGCCCTCCATTCTTTTAATAATATTAGCAGTACACAAAGTAAACTCTTCATGAATTTTTTGTATTTTCTGTACTGTACTATTTTTAATAGCTAGGCAGAGAACTATTCCATGACAAGGTACTTGTATTGTCTGATTATGTACAATCTATATATGTTCTAAACAACTTACTCCACGACTAAAAAAAACTCTTTTTTGTGACAAAAAAAGCAGATACAAGAATTAAATTGACTTCTATCAGTTGGGTGTTTGCTTTTTAGATTTTTTCTGTATATAGTATTTTGATCATAATTAAAATGCTTTAAACAGACTCCAAGAAGGTAAAGTTGTCTGTTAACTTCTTCAACAGCATTTGCATCAATTTTCCAAACACCAACAAGTTCTTGCAACCTCTTATTGCTGATTCTATTATAGTGACATATTTCTCCATAATTATTATCAATTATGACACACAGTGTAGTAGGTTTTTGTGTAGTTGCAGGAATTTCTTCACTATATTCACTGCCAATTTTCTCAATTTTCTCAATTTCCTCATAGTTAATATCCTGTTCAACCATATCTTTAGCATTAAGCTCTTTCTATAGATTGTCTTGATGTTTTGTTAAGTCTAAAGCTTGCTCATACAAGTTTTGTTTAAAATTAAATAAAAGGTCATTATCATAGTTATCTTTATTATCCAGAGTCTGAATGTCCATTGAAAACTTATGTAGTTCATCATAGTCAGAGTGAAGCAAAGTTTCTTGCAAAGTGTATAAGAGATTAGTGCTTATTTTTTGATTATGCAAGTTAGAACAGATAAAGTTACTTGTACTTTTTATGTGAAGTAATTTTTTATTAATTTTCTGTTATTAATTTGTTTGTTAAAATCAAAATCGGTGAAAATAGTGCTTTTTATTGACTTGAGAGAATTGCAGTATCTTTGAAAAAAAAGATTCAATAGTGTAAAGTTAAAATTTCAATTACATATAGAGTTGAAAATAACCCAATGAAGAATTTCAATGAAGTCAATGAGTTAATAGACACTTGTTTATTGAGACCTCCATTAATTTTTTTTTCAATAAATAGTAAAATTACCAACAATAATGTTTGGAACTATTTTTATCAAACTTTTTAGGCATGAAAGAAAAAACTTAAGATTTTATTTAGAAACATAACTACGCATGGAGTTGGAAATAATCCGATAAAGAATTCTAATGAGATTAATGGGTCAATGGACACTTATTCATTGAGACCCCATTAATTTTTTTTTTTAATAGATAGTAAAATAATGTTTTACTATTTTTTTCAAACTTTTTAGACACGAAGAAAAAAGCTTAAGATTTTATTTAGAAATATATAACTATATATGGAGTTGAAAATAATCTGATGAAGAATTTCAACAAAGTCAATGAGTTAATAGAACTCAATAAACACTTATTTATTGAGACCTTTATTAATTTTTTTTTCCAATAGATAGTAAAATTACCAACAATAACGTTTGGAACTATTTTTTATTAAACTTTTTTAGGCACAAAAGAAAAAACTTTGAAAATAAAAACAGACAAATCCTTCTTGACCATTTTTTAGTTCTTGAAAAGATTTATTTAAAAACATATAACTCGGTCGAAATAGTTTTATAATACGTTTATTTTTATTTAGTCATTAATTATAGAATGATACTGTGCATTGAATGTTTATCTCTTTTTAATAATAATAACTTATTTTTAATTTTTATTAATTCAAAAAATAATGATTGAGAGGTTATATTTTATTTAATGTTTTATTATATTAATTACAAAAATAAAGTCG